CATCAGGACTCAAAATATCCTCAATTTCTGAAGTATCTCCAGAAAACAGCATGTTGAAAACTTCCTGAGATAAATATTCCATGAACATAATCAGTATGTTGCATTAGAAGCTGATTGTATCATGTGAAAATCAAGTTAGATCAGTGTTTCCCTGTTTGTACAGTATCCATTTTCCAGTGACATTCAGATTCTCGTCCACAGATATGGATAGATATTTTCCTGAGTTGAAGCTTTAATGTTTTCATGATTTTTTTGACATGTATGTAATGTAAGATCTCATGTTTAGTTTAACAACTGCTTTAACACAAATTACTGTATGCACTTAACAATATAATTAGACTGAAACATGCCTTGCGCTTACTCCTTGCCTCACAGTCAACCATGCTTGTTAAAGCAGGGGGTGTGGCTCTGGCAGTCAACTTTAGGTGATGTGGTACCCTGTGATTGGCTTATAGACATAAAATAAATCTGTGTATTTGGGTGAGTCAGATGACAGCAATCATAGATCTAAACATCCCAGAAAAGTGTCCATTAGAATGGATGAGGGATCTGAACAAGTTAAAACATGTCTGCAGGAACTTTTTAAATCCTTTTATAGTTTATGTAGATTAAGCAAATAAATTTGTTATAGATGCTATTGACTATTTTACAAAAAAAAAAATACATGACTTAGGTGGGTTTGCCTTTGTCAAGGACATATGTAGCAAATGGCACCTTTAATTAGAGTTCTTTGAACACAGGCATATTTTGGAGGTGGCAGTCACTCATAAGGGCCAATTCTCTGCCCAACACATTGTTGGAGGGCCTGCTCTCTCTGGAGGCCCCTCAACCTCACAGGTCCCAGTGCAACCACTCTGCCTGCGCTGTCTATATTTACGCTCTTGGCTTCAGTGATTTGTAATGTTTCTTAAATGTGTGTGAAGATTCAAATGTCACATTCAGATTTTTAAATGCTGAATTTGTTATAATAATATTGCTATCAAACATGTGGGTGGTGTTTGACACATTTTGACGTGATATTTGTTGTGAATGTGTGTGAATGTGTGAATGTGACCAGGGTGTTTCTGTAGAGAAAAAGGAGCATTAGTGACACCACCACTTTCTTTTTTTTATTTGCCTTGATTTAATCAATCAATTAAATGCCGTGGCAGCTGCTATGCAAATGTGCAATATTATTTTATGTATGTGCAATATAACATTATATATATATATATATATATATATATATATATATTATATAAAAGCTGTCTTTTTATATACTGATTTTCTTTTTTATTTATCTGTGTTTTTAATGGTACTGTGCTTGTAATTTCGTTCTGCTTTGCATCACTGATGTTTTTGCTGAATGACAGTAAAAGGAACTTGAATCTTGAATTGAATCTTGAACTTCACCCCTGCCTGCTCTAGGGTGTGAATGTGAGAAATTTAAGGTTAAAAAAAAAAAAACTTGCAAAAAATCTACAATCACATAGAGATTTTCTTCACTCCAGTGAACTTGCTCTCATATTATTTCAGGAACCATTTTCACATCAGTTCGGTGCATAAAGGCCAATGATCCTCCTTTTTTTTCTGACGTCTTGACTTAACAACACAGTGACTCCATGGTTTCCGCCCAGTGTGTGTGTGTGTGTGTGTGTGTGTGTGTGTGTGGGTGGGTGGGTGTGTCAGTCAGCCAGTCTTTTGTCTTTCACACCCTGTTATTCTTTTCAGGTTTGTAACGAGCAGCAGGGCAGCTGAGGACAACAAGGCCACAAAGACTGCACAGGACAGGACTCCTCCCAAAGTCTCATTCTGGAAACTCAGCTTCCTTCTAAAATAGTCAGCCTAGTCACTAGAAGAAAATGTTCCCATTGCATGTTTACGCAAACCACATACGTCACATTTGTACTTTCATATGAACCACAATCTCAGGTGAAATAGGCTTCAGCAGCTGACTTTGTCAGCTTTGATAGATGGGATGGTGAGTGACGTGACACCTAGGTGAAATGCCTTCCAAGCTGCAGATCACTGTTTGAGACCAACAAACAACAAAACCGTTTTTTAGCGAGCGCTCTTGAGATGTTGTATTGATGACGAAGGGATGGATGGATGGATGGATATACAACCCAAAAACAAAATGCCTCAGGCCACAGCTGTCACCAGGACGAAGGCATAAAAAACAAATGCATTTATTGCATGAGCTCATTGTGAAAGTGTGAACAGCTAACCAACAGCAGCTATTTAGTGAATAGTGTGGTTGTGAAAAATAAAAAAAAAAGCACAATATTTAGCCATGACATGTGGTGGCGGAGGAAATGTTAAATCTCATTAAGTCACATGTGACAGCTGTACAAAAACAATCTCTGGAGCAAATCCAAATCTGGAGCAGGAAGAAACACTGAGAACCTTTAAGGCATCAATTAAAGGATTTACTGTATCAAACCACAAGCGGATCTTTAAAGGCATGAAGTGTTCATGTGAAGGCTGTCACTGAATAAAAGTCACATGAAGCATCTGGGGGGTGGGAGGTTCTTTATTCAACCAGGAACATTAGTTTGGTGTGGTAATGATTTTAAAGTTATTGTTACAAGCAAATTTTTGTGGGTCCCTTCACACTGTAAACCACTGTATAAGACCTACAAACAGCAGAACCAGTTGTTTTTTATTAAGTCATTGCTGCGTTTCAAGTGAGTATTGTGTGACTACTTTAAATTCCAGCAATTTTTATGACAAAATGTGGAGAAGAAAACCCATTTTTATGGATGCACCATTTTTTTTTTCGATATAGAAATAATTCAATTCAGAACCACCTTTTAGAGCCAAAGTCAAAAAAATCCAGCCTTAAATTACGTTATAGAATCCATTCAGGTTAATAAAGGATACATGAGTAAGTGTCTAACTTCCTGACTGCAGAAATGAGACCCAGATAGATAGATAAACTTTATTCCAGACTCAAGTCCATATAAAATACATACAAAAACACAGACAATACAATAAAAACAACACAACAAGTAGGTTTAAAACACATACAGGCATCTATTCCAGTGCTTCCAGAAGTATGACAAATATTCTGTGTCACTTGTGCAGGCACCGCTAGGGCCATAATGACTCCATTCTTTGACTGGCTAAGTTGACACATAAAACTGTAAATAAACTTTCTAAGAACAGCATGAAAAGTGGGCACATCACTGCTTACAAAAATATGGCTTGCACTTATCCATCTTGGATGCCTGAGTAAAATCCTAAATGCATCATTATATGCCTGGATTTTTTTCATTTTTGCAGCACTGTACCTGCACCACAGGTGTGCAGTATACACTGAAGTACAATATGACCTAAACAAAGCTATCTTGACATCATCAGTACACTTGTTAATTTTCATGCAAGCATGTTGGCTTGTGCATAGAGTTTGCAGCACTGACGCTGGATGTCATCATCGTCACATAAATCATCTCTGATTATGTGGCCAAGATATCTAAATTTGTTCACAACTCCAAGCACTTGGTCTGCTAGAACAAATGAAGCAAAGTGTGACTTCTTATCCTCCTTGGTTTTCACAATTAACACTCTTTGTCGAATTAAACATAATATCATACTGCACACCGTAGCAGGAACAGATTCTAAGCAATTGCTGCATACCAACACTAGAGGGAGACATAATGACCAGATCGTCAGCATATACCATGGGTGCATCCCAAATCCCTTAAATTTACTGCTAACCACCTAACCTAGCCACCTTACCTAACTGTTAGTCCCCTCCCACTTAGGGAAACATTTAAGAAGTCAGGAATTAGGAGTGAGGAGCGAGGATTGCTGATAAGAGACATGAGACGGCCTTACTCTGAAGCGTCACGTAAAGTGACGTCCTTTTATGATGACGGCGGCACAACTGGATCTACTGCNACCAGTACTGTAATATTCTTATCATATAAAAGGTGGAACCCCTCGCTCCTGAACTTTGGCAAATAGCTTTCCATGATTGACTCTGTTAAACGCTCTGGATGCATCCAAGAAACATTGTACTGTTTTTTCTTCTATACATACTAATAGGGATGCACCGAATATATTCGGCCAAATATTACCCAAAAAAAAACAAAAAAAAAGAAAACACACATTCGGTATTCGGTGGAATAAGTGAAAAGCAAGGCCGAATAATCGCGGCGTGTTTTGATAACTCAAAACAGCGTGCCGTGATGGGCAGAGTGAAATGTCAGTAGTGTGGCGATCCGCCAGTAACCGCACTCGCATTTGCGACTAAATAGTTTTGAGCGAGCAAAATAGGCTTAAATCATTCAGCACGCTGTGCGAGTACAGATTTCAACCACCAGCAGAAACAAAGGCGAATCCCACCAGTTGTGGGTTGAACCGGGGTCAGACAGACAGACAGTAATGGATTCCTGTCAAATACGGCGGCCATCGGCTTACCGGCAACAGAGAAGTCGGCTCCAATAATGTCCTCTTCTTGGCGCAAACACAGGTATGTGACGCGTCAGGAGAAACGAGCCGTTCACGGCCCACAAACCTCACCGCACTTTAGGGACTGTTCTTTACTTGTCAGGGGAGGAGGGTGGCTGGTTGATTCTTATTATTTATTTTAATCCCCCCTATGTTAATCACTCATTGATGCTGTTTTTGAAGTATGAATAAGTCAATAAGTAATTTATTCCATTGAAATATCATTGATGTAGCCTGTAATAGAAAAGTGATTTATCTTTTTATAAATGACAAAAGGCACATCTGCCTCATTTTCACTGTGGTATCGTGATACTACTCAGAACCATGATACTATCACCGGTATTGTGTTGCGTGGCCTAAAGTTAATTTTTTAAAAAGACTATTAAAACAACTGCCAATTAACAATTTAAAAAATGACTTAAATTAATTTTAAAAATTTAAGTATTTAAAGAAATAGTATAAAAACCGACAACGCCACCTAGAGATTTATAGAGCTCTGGAACTCTTAAAAGGCTTACAGGTTCTTTGTAACCAGGGGTGAGCAGAGTTAAAAGAACAAGCCAAGGGTAAATATTGGCGGGTTTATTACAATAAAAGCAATGTTTTACAAAATAAAATAGATAATCCTAAAACAAGTCCATGCAATAACCCTCTGCCCCAGAGTCACTTGCACGTGGGAACGCTAGCAGCCGCCGCTCAGACGTCAACTCGTTCCCAGCCCAGATCGACTCCCGATGCTCCTCTTCCCGCAGCGCCTCCTCTGCTGCTCCGGTCGTCCTGTGAAAGATGAATAGACCAGAACCAGTATCGGACACACATACACAACAAACCCAGATTACACCCCTTGCCTGGCCCAGCAGCCGGCCTTCCAGTACCCGCCGCAACAAAGTTGAAAGGTACTCACGATCTTCCCGGGCGGCAGTCAAACTACCGACCCAGGCTGGAGTATCCTCGCCAAACGGGTACAGGCTGCTGTGCTTCAGGCTCTGGCGTCTCCGTGGTCCAGGCTGTGTCTCCGTCGGTCGCTGATGGCTGCGCGTGGCCGCTCCGTAACTCGTGTCCCCGTCTCCTGTCCCCGTCTTCTCCTGCTCTACCGAGTGCTTCTGCTTTTATTTCCTTTTCATCCAGCGTGCTGCACCTGTTGCTCATCTGCTGATTGCTTCTCTGGTTTTGGTCAGTGTCTGCTGCGTTCAGGGGCAATCGGACAAAAAACACTGCATGCAAAAATAAGAATCTCCCACTAAAAACACAAGCCAATAAATCTCTACTAAAAACCCAAACACAGCAACTTAAAACAAGTAAAACATGCAGCAAAATATATTAACGCATGCATAAAACCCCCTGTCAACACCGACCCCATCACAATTGTACAGTCTGATCCAATTTTGGTACCGTGACAACACTAATCTGGAGGGGGTTCATCTGCAAAAACTAATGAAAAACTAAACAACGGTATTCGGTATTCGGTACTCGGTATTCAGCCAAGCATTTAATATTATTTGGCCTCGGCTTTGGCCACAAATTTTCATTTCGGTGCATCCCTACATACTAACTATCTCTTTCAGTGCATAAATACAAAAATCTGTGCCGTGCTTACTTTTAAAACCGAACTGGTTGTCAGTGGTGATTATATATTGTTGGGGTCTATCATCAGTCAGCGCTTTGGAAAGTACACTTGCCAAAGCAATGGGTCTGTAATTTTCTGGGCTAGATATCTTTCCAGTTTTGTCTTTGACAACAGGTACTGATACTACAGCAAGCATAGAGTCTGGAAATATTCCATGCATTAATAATCCAGTAAAACATAAAGCAATCAACACTGAGACTCTACTGCTAGCATATTTTAGATGCTCTGCAGCTATTTGATCAAGGCCACATGCTTTATTCAGTGATAATTTCTCTATAGCATACAATACCTCATCCAGTCTAATAACCACACCATCATGGTGAGGAACATCTCCAACAATACATGCATCGCCTCTAACACAATTAAAATATCACAATAATGTTTCCTCCATAGCTCAGCAACATTCTCAGATCCAGTTATACCAGAGATGCTAGATGGTAGAGGCATCTTGTTGTTGTTAATAGCTTTAACTTCCTTCCAAAATTCAAATTCAAATTCAGAGAGATTCCTGAACTAAATTTTAATTCTCACTGTAACTTTTGACACATACATTGGTATGCAAAAGTTTAGGCACTCTTTGTCACCCAAAATGTTGTTTACTGTGTAAACTGAGCAAATAAAAGATGACCTGATTTCCAAAAGGCATTAAGTTAAAGATGAAACATTTCTTTAATATTTTAAGCACAACTTATTTTAAATTGCAACCTTTTACAGTTTCAAAATAACAAAAAAGGAAAAGGGCCTGAAGCAAAAGTTTGGGCATCCTGCATAGTCAGTGCTTAGTAGTGCCCCCTTTGGCAAGTATCACAGCTTCTAAACACTTTTTGTAACGAACTAAGGGCCCTATTTAGATGGTCTAATACGCAAAGCGCCAGGCGTGCGGCGCATGTGCATGTCCCAGTCACTTGCTAGTTAGACAGCGCGTTTTTAGACTGTGCGCCATGGCAGACAGTCTAAAAGGGCTGGACTTACTCTGTGAATTAGTCATGGGTGTGTTTTGGGCGTATCATTCAATAAGCCAATCAGAGTGTCACTTCTCATTCCCTTTAAAAGAGGTGCGATTGGAGCGCATGGTGGAGAGCTAGTTAGATGGCGGACCTACCAACTGGAAAGAGTGAGCGTTTTACAACTGAGGAGACGGATCTCCTCGTGCGGGAGGTGAAGGCCCGTCAGAACCAGATCTACGGGGACAGCAGACAGGCACCCAAGCTCCCTGAGGTAAAGCAGGCGTGGGATCACTAATACAAGAAAGATTTTACTAAATATCTGTGGAATATTATTCAAACCTGTTTTCATCATATAACAGAGCACAGCTGTCAGGACTGCCGCAGAGCTTCCCAAGGTGCTGATCCTGCAGCAAGGACCTGTTCAGCGTTTTCTCCCCCACCCATGTTTGTTAATTGTTTTCACATGTTTCCTAGAGCTGTGTTCTGCCTCTTATTTGCATGTGTGTCCTCTCTACACTCAGATAACAATATAATAATATAATATAATGTAGCCTAGTATATAATGTAGCCTAGTATAACATGTTAAAATAAATGCAATGTGTGGGCTTTGGTTTTCAATCAAAAAAATGATTGATTGGTCAGATAATTTCACAATCTCATTTGTCATTATTACAGATTATGATGATCATTATTACTGCGATTAGATCATTCTGATTAATGACTGACCATTAAGACGTGTTTCTGATAAATATTTTAATGTGCACAATAATAACCTTTCACATTGTAATCATATT